CTTGTAATATGCCTTCCACGGGTTTCATAAACTCTGCACTGAGATGAAGAGATTTTAGTCTACGAGTTCATTGAGAGAGGGAATCTTGATCAATGGCTTCATGGTCCAAAAACCTCAGGTGCTTTAGAAAGAAAGAGATAGTGTAATAATAGTAATTGCAATTGTAATAACTATTATTATTTAAAAAAATCTTGTTAATTGCTTAGCTATTTGTTTAGGAATCCTAAGTCTACTTAATGTTTGGGTTTTTAGAGGGGCTGAGATAATTTTCCAAAATATCTAAAGTTAAAGATACTCAGAGGCATCAACAATGGGTTGTTTTACTTACATGGACTTGATAGGACTTCTACTTGTTAATTCTTCAACAAGACTTATTAATGACTTAAACTCATTTGTTATATCTACAATTCTCTCATCTGAATTGCATTATTTATTAATTGTATAACTTTTATTTCTTAATTCTTTATCAGGACTTGTTAATCACTAAAATTTATTTATTAAATACACAACTTCCTTAGCTAAAGTACATTACTTATTAATCGCATAATTTTTACTTGTTTATTTTTCAATAGGATTTACTAATCACTTAACTTTACTTATTAAATTCGTAACTCCCTCAACTAAACTATACAACTTTACTTGTTAATTGTACAACTTGACTTGTTAACTATTTAACTTTACTTATTAATCAACAACTTCTTAAATTCAACTACATTCCTTGTTTATTTTGCAACAGCACTGACTGTGATATTTTTAATGTTCAGAAGGGGGACTCAGCTTCTATCCTTTGAGAGAAGCCTCCTCTGCCTCTCCTTTAACGTAGGTAAATCTAGATCGTCTAGATTTAATTTGGACGATCTAGATTTAACTTTTTTATTTTGTATTTTTATTTATATTTTTAAAATAAAAATATATAAAAATTATAAAATTTTTAATAAATTACTTATCAATTTAACAGTTTGAATTTAATACAGATGATTCAAATTTAATAAAAAAATTAAATTAACTTTTTAGATATATTCTAAATAGTGCAAATATATTTTGAACAAAATAATAAATTTAATATTAAATTTAGATCATCTATATTAAATTTGAATTGTTAGATTTATAAATATATTTATTAAATTTTTTAAAAATGTTTATGTATTTTTATTTTAAAAATATAAAAAATAAAAAATAAAAATATTAATTCAGATTAAACCTTTGCTTCAAAAGAGAGGCAGAGGAAGCTTCTCTTAAAGAAAAGAAGCCGAGTCCTTAGAAGGATATTTGAGTCTTTTGATAAGTGAAATTAATTTTCTTTCAGCCTTCATGACTGAAGTGAGATTTATATTTCAATGGGTGTCATATGTGATTATGTGACATATTTGATCTTCTATTAAAATTCCCCCTGTTCATTTTCCCTGCATACAACATTAAGGAGTTGGCTTTGCTTCTCCCAATCCTTTCTCCATTGCAGCTCCTCTCATATAGAGAGGAAATTTGGACGGTCCTTATTTAGTAATTAAAAATAAAATATTTATAAAAATTATAAAAATGTTTAATAAATTAGATCTCCAATTTGGACAATGTGAAATTTGTATTGCCAATATAAAAATTTATAAAAAGTTAATATTAAATTTATGTTGTCCAAAATACACCTAGATACTCGATTTATAAAAATTATAAAAAATTCAAACATTAAATTAGATCGTTCAAATTAAATCTATATCATCCAGATTGACATTGAGTAGATTTATTATTTTTTTAAATCTTCATTTTGGTAATACATATTGGATTGTCCAAATCGGTGATTATATTTATTAAATTTTCTTATAACCTTTATAAATATTTTTATTTTAATAAACATAAATTAAAAATAAAAAATTAAATTTGGATTTAATCTAAATGATACTCCCTCTATCATAAATTATAAGATACTTTTAGATAAAATTTTACATACTAATAAATCTTATTAAATACACCTAACAACTTTATCTTTCAAAAATAAAAATATAAACTTTAAAAAAATTCATCATTTAATATAATGGAAAGAAAAAAAATCAAATCAATTATAGAAAGAAAAATAACAATATTAAAATTCAAACATTAATAAAATTTTAATATATTTAAAATATTTTATAATTTTAAATATTTTTTTAAAATATTGTATAATTTAAGACGAAGGCTGTATAAATATCCTCTTTGGATAAAAGGAGCTGCAATGGCGGGCAGTTGCCCCGTATTTTACCCAAAAAAAAAAAAAACAAAAAAAGAAGAAGCTGCAATGGAGCAAAACCAACTCCTAACATTAAACGTGAAGCCACGCGCTTCAGTAAATAACTAAATTAATTTCCACATGTCATGGCGTGGTTGCTTTGTGATGAGGTGCCGAATATTTGAAAGCTGGCCCACGCGGCGCTCGTTGATGATTGATGGACACGGAGCGTTGAAACTTTTCACTTCATTTCCCTTGCCTTGGATTGTTCAACTCATTTACCAATTTGCCACGGCGGGTACCCCCAACCGTTGGGTGGACCAGGTCAGTTGATTTGTGGGACCCGAGGGTACTCTTGGGATTTCACAAGCACAGTAACCTAAATATTATTAATAATAATAATTAATAATTAAAGGGGTTCCCCTTTCTGCCCCAAAAGTTTGAATAATATGATTATTTTAGCCCTGATCATTCATGCTTTTCTTTCATAGGGGTTGGTTTGATCCACTGTCATCCTCTACCTCCTTTTCTCTTCATCCTCGCATTTGTTATGATGATGATAATAATAATAATAATAATAATAAAATGGTTGAGTTTTGGCACTTTATCCCTCCCCCAAGTCTTCAAAATATTCAAAGTCTGGTCTTCAGGCTTCTCATTTTTTAAATGGAGAAATGTGTGAGATTTTTTTTTTTGTTTTATAAATAAAAATCCAGATAAATTGAATCCATGACTTGCTGTTAAATAATATTTACAAAAAATACATGTTATACACCAACAGAAAATAAAAAAAAAAACCCCTCATACTAGTAGCAGTGATATTTTGAAGAAGTATAAATTACATGTTTAGGTGAAGTGAATCGAATCGAGGAATAAGTCCATATTTTAAAGCGGATTCTTCCTTTCAAGGATGAGCACTATCAAATGCAAGACTCTTCTACCTGGCCTCGTATTATATAAAAGTATCGTTACCATTTAAGGTGTGTAGAGTTTAATGATTAAGTGCACATTAAGGTTTCTTTCGCCGTTTCTTATAACCAAGGGCTGAGAGAAGAAAAGACCCCAGTGAATGTTGTCATAACCATGTTCTTCAATTTGTTTTTAAATTCTAATTGGAGCCCGTTCAGGAAAGGAGGACTTAGTGGGAATCAATACTCCAACCCATTTTAGGTACTCTTTAAAGCTTGGCTTTATATTCAAGCAAGGTAACCAACCCAGTCTTTAATTTCAATTTAAGATAATTTCGTTGATGTTTATGAAATAAACAGTTTTTTAAATAGATGTGATGTTTTTAACAAAATAAGACCATAGTTTAAATTTTTTGATTATATCCTTTCATCAGGTTACCATAAGGGAAAGAATATAACAGAACTTCATTCAATTCTTGGGGAAAACTGGATGTAGTTTATTTTTTTTTTATTTTTTAAACTATAAAAATAATTATATATAAATATTTAGAAAGTATAACAAAAACGCACCACACATACATTAACATTTACACTCTGGTTACATAATTGCATAGTTACGAGGATTTAATATGAATGAAATTTTAGGTCGGGGCTGCATAATTAGGTGTCTCCAATATCATTCCACGCCGGAGTCTCAAGGGACAACTCAAATAAAAGTCAAATGCACACTGAAACTTAATTGGGATTTTTTGGCTCTCAGGACACCTGGGGTTGTGAGAAAATTTCGAAGTACTGATGCAGAGAGATTAATGTTAGAAAAAATTATAATAAATTTTTTTAAATTATATAAATAATAACTTAATATCTTAAAATATTATACTTTTATTGAAGTCTTGAGAGATACTTTTGTCAATAAGTTTTAAATTAAAAAAGATTATTTTACCTTTATTATTAATTTATAATTTTTTGTTTAATTTTTATTATTTTTTAAAAAAATTATAATTCTTTAAATAAAAGTTATTAATGCGGTTTATTATTTTAAATTTTTTTAATAATAAAAATTATACTTAATAAATTTTAATTTTTTATTTAACTGTTACGATTTATAGAATAAAAATTATTATTTTTTAAATAAAAGTTATGATTGCTGTTTGTTTTTCAATAACATAAATTATATTTGATAAGTTGTGATTTTTTATTCAACTCTTGTAATTTATAAAATAAAAATTATAATTTTTAAAATAAAAATTGTGATTGAAATTTATTATTTTCAGTATGGATAAAATGATTTTTTTATTAAACAATTATTGATATTTTAGGATCTTTATTGAAATTATGATATTTTAAGGATTAAATTATCATATATATAATTTAAAAGAATTTTATTATTATTTTTCTTCAATATTAATGTATTTAACGTAAAACATCAGCATCCATATTCCGGCAAAGGAAAAAAAAAAAAAACAGCAGTTATAGAAAAGCTTTGTTATCTCTAAAATATGGGTGAGGGCAAACGGTGTTAAGATTAGTTAAAGGCAGATAATGGGGACAAAACAGGGCAATTACAAGAGATTAGCATTGTAGTCAAGAAGATTCGGGGGCATGTCGACACGAGAAAGAGAGCCGCGTGTAGTAGCCTTTTGGTCAGGGAGTATCTGTTCTCATCGAAAAACTACGGAGGGAGAGGGAATGGGGTGAGACTGATGTAGATGTATGTGATGCATCCATGTACTGTTGTATCATAACGTAGTATTTCACAATTTTCTTAATTGCTAATCAACGAAAATGAAAGGCACATCTAATTAGATTTGTTAAAGAAACTTTTTGAACAAAGAAAAAGGAGGTTATAAAAACAAGAGAGAGGCATTTTAAAATTGTCTACTCATGAACAGCTCAATCCGCAACACTACACTCTCCTACTTGCCTGCGCTCGCCAATAAAATGACCTTCTCTTGCAAGTCTCTTTCTCTCTGTTCTGCCCTTTTCGGCTCTCTCTATCGCTCATAGCTGTAGAGATAGAGATATTCCCCTCTTCTTTCCTTCTTCAGCCCCCCCTCTCTGCATTCTTCTTGTGTCTTGCTTCTTGTATATTTTACATACAGGGAAGAACATAAATATCCACAACAGGAGAAGCCTTTCTTCTTTGAAAAATCAACCTTAAAAGAAGCAGAAGAGCATGGGAGGGTTTCGATTTCATCTGGGTTTTCTTTTGTTTTGCTCTTTGCTCTTGGTTCTTGCTTCTGGGTCATCCAGAAATTTGCCCATCATAGCCTTTGATGAAGGCTACACGCGCTTGTTCGGGGACAATAACCTTGTTATCCATAGGGATGGTAAATCGGTTCATCTTACTTTGGACGAGCGTACAGGTGCTTTGCCCATCTACCCCTTCTTATTTTGAACTCCTTCGCTTTGAAAAGGGCAAAAAACAAAAACAAAAAACAAAAAAAATTCTGCATGGGGCTTTTCTGGCTAAAGTTTCGATTTTTCTTAATGGTTGTTCTGTGTTCTGTTTACAGGTTCTGGGTTTGTTTCTCATGATCTTTACCTTCACGGGTATTTCAGTGCTTCGATTAAGTTGCCCGCTGATTACACTGCAGGAGTCGTGGTAGCCTTTTATGTGAGTGATCGGCTCCTATGTCCGATTAAAGTTTAAATAGGGAAATGCTCTTTTGTTATTGAATCCGTTTATTGTTATATTCCTACATCCTGTCTTGAGAAATTTCATCATCACGAAATGCTCTCTCTGTCTCTCTCTCTCTCTCTCTGTTTTTTTTTAACCTTGCTTCTTCACTGAGCTGGTCTGGCTAATAAGCTGACACCACTGTGCTTTCACTTTCATCCATTTCCAAGCATAGTAATAAAACGAGTCCACGACACCCATGTGAATTTTGTAACTTTCTAAAAATTATTTCTTCCTTCGTTACCTGACAGAAACTGCAGAGTATGATCCAACCAAATCTCAGGATTTTACATTGATATATATTTTTCCAAACACGCCTCTTATATTTCCTTCCTCTTGATAAACCAAATCTCCGCTGAAATGGTTTCTCTTGCTCAAAGATTAGTGCACTGTTTTGCTTATGTGAAGAAACCGGAAGGGGTATGTTATATTACTTAATGATTTTCTGCTGCAGATGTCAAATGGTGATACGTTCCAGAAGAACCATGATGAAATAGATTTTGAGTTTCTGGGAAACATTAGAGGGAAAGAGTGGAGGATCCAGACTAATGTTTACGGTAATGGAAGCACCAGCGTTGGCAGAGAGGAAAGATACAATCTCTGGTTTGATCCTGCAGAAGATTTCCATCAGTACAGTATTCTTTGGACAGATTCTCAGATCATGTAAGAATTATTCACAACTCCACTTATCATATTTGGTTCTCTTCGCTTTCATGTTTCTCATCACACCTGCAGTTTACTTTCTCACGAACAAGTCCTTGTATCATTTGCCAATGAACTTATACTTCACATGGGCACATGGCATTAGCCGATGTTTTTAAGATTGAGGTGAAAGAGTTCCTGTATCAGTATCTTTGTTGCCACTTATACGTACTCTTATGCCTTGTGACTTCTGATGATGCCTTTTGATTTAGGATTACTAGTGTTGTCTGAGCTGTCACGCACGCTGTTTGATCCAAAACCAGATTTTGTTTGTTTGTTTGTACGTCTGTAATAGAATGACCGTTTATAGCTGATGCCTGGGTTAGTTTCTGAGACCACTGATAAAATCTGATGCTTAATTGTAAATGTTTCTCTGGAGAGGAGCCGGCCAGAGAAAATCTTGTGGTTGTGGGTTTGACCAACAAGCTGGTCACATGACATCCTTGGTCGTTGTTGGATTTTTTTTAATTTTCCTGAATTTTTGAATTAGTGTTTTTATGTTATCTTAAGCTGTATGGTTCAGCAACCCCGTTCTAGAGTATGAGATAAGAAATGTTCCATGATGAGACTATTAAACATTATCATTGTCATTTTATCTTGTTTGTTCTTCCCTCGTTCTTATTTTGTGTTGCCCCCTTCTGTTGCAGATTTTATGTAGACAATGTTCCTATCAGAGAAATTAAGAGGACAGAGTCTATGGGAGGTGATTTCCCTTCAAAGCCAATGACTTTGTACGCCACAATATGGGATGGATCTGATTGGGCTACCAATGGAGGCAAGTACAGAGTGAATTACAAGTATGCACCCTATGTTGCTGAGTTCTCCAACCTTGTCCTGCACGGTTGTGCTGTTGATCCGATCGAGCACACAACCAAGTGTGACATGGCACCATGTTCTGAAGCAGTTCCTTCTGGCATCACACCAGTACAAAGAATCAAGATGGAGAATATCAGGAAGAAGCACATGACATACTCTTATTGCTATGACACTGTCAGATACAAAGTCCCTCCTCTGGAGTGTGTGATCAATCCCCAAGAAGCCCAAAGACTCAGGAAATTTGATCCAGTCACATTTGGTAATGGCCGGCGCCACCATGGGAAGCGACACCACCATCAGAGCAGAGGAAGCCAGGCAGATGCTGCTTCCTTCTGAAGAGATATTTGAGGATTTCCGGGTGATAAAAGCACAGTATCTTGCAATCTTTATTCTTATTCAGTTTGATTTGCCTGGGTCAGCATTTTCTTATTATTTTCTTTGTTGGTGTATAGAGTGAGAGAGAGGGAGAGAGAGGCATAGAATTCCTGAATATGATAGTTTTGATATGGTTGCTGCTGGTGGTGGTGGGTGGGTATGTGTATAGTCCCATATCTTTAAGGCTTCCCAGGTTGTCATTTGATGATGTCTTGTGCTTCACCAAATTGAATCTTATTATGATTTATGTACGTAGGCCACACTTCAGGGTGTCATTCAATAAATTTATTTACTTTTACGTGGGAGCTATGTTATGATGTTCTCTGGTGTGGATGGCCTCTAGCCAGGCATACTCTAGGCTAGTTTTGAAGTCGTTGTTAAGAGTGTGATAATTCTTAAACGGCTAGATTTGTCTGCCTGGGATGATATTATATTATATTATATGGGGCAGAAATTTCAATCACAGTTGGAATCAGAAGTCATCTGAGTATGACAAATTCTGCAGCAGCACCGAATTGGTGAGGATAGAGAAGAATCATAAATTTATTTATTTATGAAGTGTTTGTCGTGTGGCGTGAACGTGAAGTTTGTGAACTTTATGAACGCAACATCCTGTGGAGTGGTGGTAGTTGTCCTGTTCACCTGACTGATTCTCTTTCTAGGAGGGCGCAAAAGCCAAAATGGAAGACATTTCTGTTCCCTCTAATCAATCTATGAAACTTTTCCTGAAAAATGTTGGCTTCAATCGGCGGCCAGAAAAAAAGAAAAAAAAGGGGGGGGGGGTTTGAAATGATTCAAATTGTACTCTTCCTTGTAGTGGTTCTGAAAATATGCTGTTCCAACCGACGAAGAAGAGATAGATGGTAGGGAATAGTATCTTAGAATGCGAGAAATTAAAGTTTAAATTTTTATTGAGAGATGTACTTAGTTTAATGACCTCTCGAGTCTCAAAAAATATTCTCTCAAATATGAGAATGTTTATATGAGCAATTTTCTTTTTTTAAATGTTGCTTCAAAATTATCAGTTTAAAATAGTAGCATGCTGCATATATCTAGTCCAATTTTAAAATAGTAATAGCTTTAAATGCTCAATTGAAATACTAAGTGTAAACTAATTTAAATGTGCATTGACAAAATTTACTGGCTGGCCTGTGGTGCTTGAAAATGTCGTTTCACAATCAATTTAGATGAAATTGACCATATCACCGCCTTAATCTCAACCAGTGAATCTATTGGCCACCCAAAAAAGAGGTGGGAAAAATCAACCATTGAATCCGGGCCAGGAAAAGTACTCAATTGTCAAAAGATTAACAAAAAGCCTTCCTTGAAAAGCAAGAATTTTGTAAATTAAATGTAACAAACTCTAATCAATGTGCTAAATAGAAAGTACTTACACCAAAATGTAGTAATTAAAGCAGTATGCCTGCTGTGTCTCTTTGTCCTGTTTGGTTATTTCCAAACTAACTATACTCCCTTTCAGCTGTAGCCAATTACTCATCTTTCTTTTTTTCAGAAATATTTATTTCAAAGAATCACAAGAATCAATCCCATTTTGACTCTTGATATCAGCATGTGAAATCATCAAATCCCATTTATGCCCCTTCCCATCAAAATTTGAAAGCTAATATTGTCTCCAAGCCAAGAATGGCTTTGGAAACAACACCTCCCTCTAAAAATGGTGGTTACTTTGTGCAATTACTTTTTTTTTTAACCTAGGCAATAGAATGGCATGCTTTATCATCACAAGTCACAACTCATGTTTCTTCATCTTCCTCCTTTTTTCTCGGCCAATGATCAATCCTCCTTGATTGACTAATTCATGCCTCTCCCCCTCTTTTTTCTGGGGAATATATATATATATATATATTTAAGTGTTTCAAGAAGAATTCAAATTCTCATGAGTTGGATGCTTTTACTAAGTCTTTCGATTTTCAAAAGAGATATTAGATTAATTTTCTTGAGTCTGAGTATGATGAATCTATTAAGAGAAAAATTTCTCAGTATCTTTTTTTTGGGTACAAAGTTGAAAGTTCGAAACCAAATTCCTTGCCATGTATCAATTTTCTTTTAAATTGACTCTCTTAATTTAGATTTGATGACGAATTGAAATAATTCTAATCCTAACTTCTTAATTAATAATTTAATTAATCAAAGATAAAAACAAATTTCTCAAAATGTATTTAAAGAAAAAAGAAACATGAACACAAGAGCATGCTGAATACCAACTCCAAGCAATTATTTACCCGTGTTAGTGGTTATTGCAAGTCCCCATCCACTTGCAATAAAGTACACACTATAAAATAAAGCAAACATGTATTATTTTCTCACTTTGACGCAGTCTGCAAGGAAGCTTGGGTAAAAATTAATGTAAGAAAGGGGCGAAAAGAAAAATAAATTTTGCAGAAAAGGACAGAGCCAACAGAGTCAAGAGCCAGGACCGACCATTTGAGCTGGGAATTAGGTTGATATTTTATAACCGATCACATTTAATGTTAAATATTGATTGATGATCTCGTGGCTTTGGCATTGCTCAACTTGATTCTTGACTACGAAGCATGTCTCTGACACAGTTTGAACATGCCTCCATTGCCGTTCTATTTACCAGTTTATGAGGCACAATTTTCTTTTATTGAAACAAAATCAAACTGTCACGTGATCTTTAGTTAAAAAAGAAGAAAAATCCTCAATAGACATGAGTGTACGTACAGCTTCTATAAAATTTCACTATTTGCATAAGGGTATATAAAAGTTCATATTTTTTTTAAAAAATATTGTCTATTCGTGAATAGGATTCAATACTGGGGTATATTGAGTCAAAAGGAATGAAGAAAACTTACTTTGGTTGTGGCCCAGGACCAAATAAAGAGTTTTGTGAGGGTAGGTGTTGAGGGATGCAGAATAAGAGTTAAAAGAGGCATGAGTGGGTGACAACCGGGTGTGAACTGGAACTACGATTGTCAATTAGTATGTATGAGCAGTAGTCAAACTCTTGACAAAGAGACCTTGTCTTCTTCTTCTTCATCCAATCTAAATCTTGTGTGGTTCCTATTTTTCTCCTCTGTTCATTTTCCCTGTTGCGGTACTAAAGCCTCAACTGCTACCATCTTGCAACTTGCGGCCACTTCCAAAATGTCTCTCGTGGAAACAGATTCCATACATTTCTTGGAAATGATTAAACGTCAGTTTCAGTTGAACATCTTTAGAGGAACTTGTGCTACATTGTATTTTTATTCAGAAATACTTGCGCTTATTTTGGTGTGTCCTGTATTTGGACATAGCAAAGCAAAAGTTATAATATATTATTGCAGTACAAATATTCCTCAAATGTAATAACAAACAATATTTGTTACAATGTACAAATTAACCGACGAAGACCTCGGCAAGCAAATGGAGACTATTCTCTTGTGCTCTTTTATCATGAAACTAGATTCTTTACTTTTTAAATATATTGCATGGAATCTAAAAAATGAGTTATATTAATAGCTCAAGTTGCTATAATATGCATGCATGTTTTTTCCCTAATGAACAAGCCTATTAGAACATATCGAAAAGCCTTACCAAAAGAGATTAAATCCTAGGAGCATTCAACCCCATTTCAACACTTCAAAGGGCGTGTTGTCAAATATTTCATGATCCACGTCCATATAATAGGTGCGCTAAACAAGCCTATTAACATAAATTTGTTTCTCCGAAAACATGGTCATGTTCATGTATGTACATTTTTCATATAAACTAATCGTGGCCTGAAGTTGTCTACGGTTTGCAAATGAGACAACCAAAACTGAGCATGCGATCCAGGTATATAGGTGACTTCCGGTTTCTCTTCTTTTTCGTTTGTCTGGCCACTCTAATAAATTCACGGCATCTCACAACATTATCTCAACCCTTTAACTCTGATCCTAGTTTCCAGACCCCATGCAATGTTCTTTTCCGTCAACAACATATGGTATAATTATAGTTTACGTGTAAACATAGATTAAAAAAAGGGAAATAGGATATGTAGTTTAAAGAAAATTGATAGCTTCGAATGGTCACCACATAAATATGAGATTAAAAAACATTATGTGCCTTTTATGAACTACACACCGGGCACTCGCATAAAACTCTAAAGCAGATTGTTGACTTCAGAAAGTTGAGAACATTGACTCAGCCATATGCGGTTCATAATCACGCTAAGATTCAACAGTAATGAAACATTATTTTTTCAAAGCCTCAGCCTCCTTTTTCTCTATAAGCTTAGCAAAATTATGGACAATCGTCTTTCCTTCAGTGGTTATGATGCTCTCTGGATGGAATTGAACCCCCTGCAGTTTTGAAGAAATGATAGTTAAAAACCAGTCATCTTTTTTTTTTTTGCCAAAAAAAAAAAATGGTTATCATGTAACTAAATGAAAGGAGACTAGCAATTCATTTCTGAATGGCAGCTATCCTGTTTCAACTTTAAGCCAGTTTGCATCACAGTTGCTGAATGCCTGCCAACAACATTTCACTAGCAAGATTCAAGCTGAGGACTTTGTTTGGTCTAACCAATTTAGCAAATTTTAAAATAAAGACATCAAGCACCCATGGCTGCTAACTAGGGGCCATTTGATAATATCGAAATGAGGTGCAAGAAGTGGTTTTGTAAATGGAAAATTTCCCGTGCCCTTGAAAACCTTAGGCTTGGTGATTTGCAAGTAAACATGTTGAAAACCTTTGAAGGCCTACTGGTGAGCAATTTTCTTGATGAAGTGGATTTAATTTGATAAAACAGGAAGTACTAACATAATCTGGAAATGCTACTCACAAGAAGCAGAAGGCAGGCTAGAAAATAAAGCTAGATGACAAGAGTACCAGTACCACAGATTCTAAAGGCACCGTGACCAACTAAATACGAGTAATATAAACGTATTGGCATGGCATGCAGAGTAAGATGCTACCTGCAGATGCTTGTATCTCTTATGACGGGCAGCCATTATAAGACCATCCTCTGTCCAGGCTGTTACCTCAAGTTCTTCATGAGGAAAACTCTCTTTTTCAATCACGAGGCTATGATATCTACCAGCAATGAAAGGGCTGCAAAGATGCAAGATGACAGAATAATTACATTGAAGCTTTTAAATTTTTGAAACTATTGAGGAAAACTCTCTTTTTCAATCACTCGGCTATGATGTCTGCCAGCAGTGAAAGGGCTGCAAAGATATAAGATGACTAAATAATCACATTGAAGCCTTTAACTTTTGAAACTATTGGAAGTTAACCGAAAGCAGTTATGCAAACAGTGATTTATATGACAGTATATCTTCAATTTGCTATTACTGTATGTCAAAGACAGAAACTATGGCCTGTTTGGGTAGCCATCAAAAATACATTCAATCATATATATGAGATATGCTTTTCTCAAATCCAACAAATAATTGCATCTATCAGATGGACTTTTGCCAGATATAAACTGAAAATCAAACACACACCAAATCTAAAAGAAATGGAATTAGCATTTCATATCATAACATTGCTGATATATAATTGTAATAAAAGGGAAAGTTAGTCAGTAGAGTACGTACTTATGTCTATAAATAGAGGGGACTGGATAGGTTGTAATCAGATTATGAGAATAATAATGAGTCGAATAGAATATAATTCTCTCCTATTTCTCTTGTCCCCCTCTCTGTTCTATCTTTCTCTCAATTATTCCCCTCTTTCTCCCTCTTTCTCTTTCATTCACTACTGTTATTCTATATCAATTGCTTCCTCTCCTCTTGATTGATATGAAAGCTGCTAAAATTATTGATTCATGCTCTGTAAACTCTGATTTTTTTTTTTTAATATGTGGCCATATTTAATATAAATGTTGTCTTCAAAACCAACCAATATACTTTATCCTTCATTAATTAAAATTCATGAATTATGTCACCATCAAAATTTGCTCTTGGTTTCAAAGAAAGTTCAGGTAGCATTAGGCAAACCATCAAATGGAGCAAGTCTACTAGATCACAGGGCCAATTTACTGAAAGCCATACTAGGTTAAAACCAGCAATAGCTAATCTTATCAACTAGGTAAATTTTAGACAAGACAACTTTTATAAGATAAAACTAAACAATCAAGTTCCAAACCGATATGAGCAGTCAGATAATGACATATCTCAAAATGCATGAAAGTCATAAAACCATACTTTGGCAACCCAGATAGTAATCCATCTTCTCCCTTCTCGTCATAATACACCGGAGAGCTTTTTCCATGCATAACACCTTTAGGAGAACGCACGATCTTTCCTGCACAGTGCATAGGCACAAAAGTACTTATCAAGTCGTAATGGTACAACCCATTGGAAAGAACTCGGACAGAGCACAAATAATAATGTGCAGAATTTATGAATTCCTCTCCCTCAAAATTGGAAGTTTGGAATCCACAAAAGAAAGATAAATTATATAGAAAACATGAAGGAAACCTACACTAGTTAAATGGACCTAAATTCTAATACAATAATGGTTTCATGGCTTAAAATGAATGTTTGAAGGCTCACCTCCAAAAGCCTCTCCAATACATTGCAAGCCCATGCACACACCAAACAAAGGTACAGTTGGCCCAAGTTCCAAAACTGTTTGCAAAGATATGCCAGAATCTTGAGGTGTGCCTGTAAGGAAGAAACGAGGTACATAACAATCTCGTGGGTTTAATCTATTCTTTCATTTCTATTTAACACAGACACCTTGCTCATGTGTAATAATAATTAAGAGAGAGAGAGACAGCTGGATTCAAACTCATGGTTTGAGAGGTGAAAGCAAGATACTTTCACCATCAAAGCACAAGTTTGATAAGCCATGTGTAATATTAATTGATACAGATAAAGGTATGAGAAAGAAAGTTGAAATACTAGACAAAGCTTACCAGGCCCGGGTGATATTAGCACACCTCTGGGATTTTTCCTGCACAGAGAAGAAAAATATTTGTTCAACATCTAGCTAAGTATGTCAGATCCATTAAAAATTTGTATGTTATCACATACTGCTTCATCAACAACAATGTGCCACATGATATGCATAACAAACACAATTCTTACCTCTTTAACTCCTCAACTGTCAACTCATCATTGCGGTATACTTCAAAGTGAAATCCCAGCTCTCCCATATACTTTAAAATACAACAAATTCAATATCAGAATAAACATTTTGTAGAGAAACTACTAAAAGAAGGAAGATGTGAATAAGAGATCCTATATGAAGCAAAACCTCACTACACTTAGAGACTAAGTTATCAATATCTATAGCACCCATATTAAAATGTTTAAATCCAAGTATCCAAACTCAAATTGATTGCTGTTGGCTGCATCCATAGAAAGGTGGAGAGGTGGAGACGTCAAAAGCTTTAGCTAAATTTATTTCCTTTCAGTCAATCAATAATTTGATTCTTTAGGTTTCTATAAAGATAATTATATGATTGAACTGAATCTTAGTTATTTTCACATATTGTCCCATGAATTAGATGACATCACAGTGCGAGTGCGAGAAGCCATGAACTCGGAACTAGCATTGTCAACTTTGAAATTTATCATTACATATTTATGTTACTGCTGCTACTACCTTCTTTAAGATAAAATATACTGGGGGGAGTCAGAACCTGGCAAAGATTATAGGTAAAACTATCGTAGTTGTCAATGACAATAATCGGACTACTGGCTGTTGTAACTGAAACTGGAGAATTAGAATTCGACATCGAGACACCCGTGGAGACTTTTAGGACGAACCCATTCTCCTTTTTGGCCAAATACCGTGGATCTGAATGAAGAAATACATCGCATTAACATCAAATGAAGTACAAAAATTCAAGAGCGAGGACGCAGGAAAGAAGCAAGAAAAAGATGAAGTACTCGAGGAAGTAGGCTGAATTTGGAGATTATGTACTACGCGAGGAAACTGACGATCTCTGAGATTCAGAGAACGATTGGGTTGAAGGAACGAAGCCTGGGAGAGCAGAGCAGCTGCCATAATGGGAAGATTCAACAGCACCGCTAGATTCTGAAGTTCAGGCGCTGGTCAACCGAATAGTCAGTGAACTCGTTTACGAAGGTCAGAGTGAACGGAAGGTCAAAATAGGAGGAGCCGAGAGGGATAGGAGCAGCGGCGGGTGGGCGATTGAACCAGAGATGAGAGCAGTGAGGAAGAAGCCGAATGGGGGAGAAGTGGAGAGGGGCAGCGGAGCCGGTGATTGAGTGAGAGAGGGAGGGAAACACAAGCGGAGTCACTCACTAATCACTGTCACGGAGGCCGTGAATGACGAGAACACGTTTAGAAGGAGGAGAACAGGAAGAGAGGAAGCAGTTGGCGCAAAATAGGGCAGGCCAATCGAGTCAGTTATTGTTTAAGTCTGGGCCAGATCATGATTTTTGATTCATTCGCCGAAAGAATAGTTCCCCGCTCCCGGTCCCGCCTCGGTCGCCGGATCATAATTTTTAAATTTTTAGAAGTTTAATAAAGTTTATTTTAATTATATTACTTGTTTACTATACAGTTATATAAGGGAGTGGCCGCTATGTCATAATACTTGATTCATGTACCATAAAACCATGTTTTAATAAAGACATGCATGCACCTTTAGAAATCTGAAAAGGAAAAAAAATTGAAAAAACTCCTTTGGTGGAATTGATGATCAAACTCAGGTTGATTTTCGAATTTTGACGGAGACCTTGGGAGCTGGAGATGAGGATGGAAGCAGGGTTTTGGGAATGTGAAATCGAATCAAAAAAGTATTTCTTCAAACGCCATCCTGTTATCGTTAAGCGACAAAAATGTCATTTTGTTGCCATGTAACTGAAGATATACAAAACGACTATTATAGAGGATTGCCGTTGACAGCCATTAGCCATTAATTTAATGTCTTCTTATTCCGGTGAGATGTCCCCGGCAAATTACAAGGACTTACCCTCATAGAACAAAGTACAAACATGCCAAAACTTTTGATTCTGTCAGCCTGTTACGCTCGAGATTTTTTAGCCATCTATGTTGACGATGACAAAATTATGGATTTCAAATATATTTTTTAATATTAATACTATATATTTAAAAACATTACGTTACATGTAATGTAGATATGATAGATTGATTATAAATTTAACAGCGTTGACTCATAAATTGTAATCAAATTTGAGCATTTCATTTTCTCTTCCATCAAACTAAACTAGTAAAGCATCCGTTTTTATATTACAGTTTTTATAAATAAATGTTAATATTGTAATAAATAAATGTTAATATTGTAAGAAGATATTTTTGAAAAAATAACTTACGACAAATGTCTTCTACATATCATCCTACACGAGGTGGGGTTTTGCAATTATCGCCATTATTATTAAGTGTGTATATATATATATATTAAAGTAAAGTAAATGATAAAAATTAAATACATACGGTAGAAATGAATACAATTGGAAGTAGATTAACAAAAACTCATAATTATTTACATCAAATTATCAAAAACTTTCATATAAATGACATTAGAATAGAAGTTCTACATATGAAGTGATCATCCTCACCAAGAATTAATATTTTTAAACATTCCCTATTTCAAAGAAGAAAAACAACAACATATAATTGACTATAGGTGAAAATAAGATAAGGTAGATACAAACCAACATGATAAAGGTTGTGACCCTGGCTCTTATTAATGGTCATTGTAAAAAATAGCGTAACAGGAAATGATCTCTGTCTCATGGTAAATGGCAACTTGGAATCCAATGGACACATGGCAATACGTGGTATACATAATTTCATCCTTATAATTAATCCATATATTTCTTGGATCTTAATGACATGTTTTCTAGTTCTGTAACTATAAAATATCAACCATTACATAAGTCTATAGACTTGTCAATATTCTGCATTAAAATAATTGGTGCACCTATTTTCAACCATATTTCATGATTCATGAAGTATAATATTGTAATTGAATTTAAAAATTTTTTATAGTGCCGGTCATCAAGTAAATTCATATTCCCATCATTTTTAACAATACAATCAAAGCTTAAGCATACAACTTCCTCTTTAGGAAGTAGGAATGACATGTACCTAACCACAAACGTACTAATCCTTTTTATTGTATTGATGGCATGAATTGTATGGATCTAAAATATAAAAGCAATTGATAGTATGAATAATAATCCAGAAGAGAACAAATCTAACATACTTAGAGGAGTGAGTTAGACATGAAGGTATGAAATATGATGTCAGCATAACATACTAACTTATAATTGACTAAGGCTGAATTAGAAGGGAAAATTAATAGGTGATTTTTTTAAAATCAAGATAATATATACTTTCTTCATTAAAAAATATAAAACATTTTTAATTGAATCTCACCATCCAATGAAGTAGTTGCTTACTTTCAAACTAATCCTATCTTTTCATATTTACTCCTAGTAAACACTTTACAATAAATACAAAATCATTATCAATAGGGGCATTTTTGAAAAAAAAAAAACAATGATTATACCTTAAAAGATTAAAAATGCCTTATATTTTTAAATATCTAACTCCTTAAAAAAATTTACATTTTTAAACAGATGGAGTATTAAATATTTATTTTTGTGAGTATAAATATATAAGGTATTTGAATTTGAACAAACTTCACGAAGCCTTCTCAACATATTAATATTTTCTAAAATTTAACATCTTAGTATTTTTCATAAATAACAAATGGTAGTTCTAAGCATTTTATCATTAAATAGATTAATGTTTATATTATGAATTTTATAATATATGAAATTTAACATCATGAGATCCCAATTATTAAATACACTAATATCTATACTTTACCATATTTACAATTCTCTTAGATCATGAGTATAGATTGAAATACCTAAATATGGATTCCTTTTTCTAAATATTTAAGCATATATACATTAATTTAAATTTGAATTTCAATATATGTGTGTGGGTGTATGTATACTGAATCACATGAAACTAGATTTTTGGCACATTTTTAGGATAGATGAAAACTTTAAATAAATAGATATTAATTTGAATTCAAATATAATCAAATTTAAATTTTAAATAGGTAAAAAATAATTTTATATACATAAAAAATTTAATGAATCATCTGCATCTAACTCCAAACCTAAATAATATATTTTATATATATGAAAAAATAATAAATTATCTCGAATATAACTCCAAACTTGACGCTGGAGCATAGAGTCATAGAAAAATGTATCTCAAAGTATAAAATTATAGCAAATTTAAAAATGAACACGTCACAGTCTTTCATAGCCTTTAACCTTATTTTTATATATATAATGATGCAATTTTTAAGCGAGTTGATCTGACATTAGCTTTAGAAAGAAAATATTTAAATAAGTTTATATTTGGTGGATTTATCGGAATTTATAAATTTCGCGAGTTGGCATCCATGTAATTTAAAGAAAGTGACCCTGTGCAAGCAATCCTGTGATGTGTGTGAAGCCGTAAAAACTCAGAATCGGTCATCTGGTTGCCAAATGTCTAAACACAAATAAACATGCGAGTTGTTACTTGAACTGGGGATCTCCAAGCTCTGGTTTGGATGCATCTATTCCCTATATATCATATTTATTTCCAAGTATCTCGATTGCTATTTTATTAGCCTTGCTCATTCAACTCATCAACAGGCAAGGGTTAGTTCCTATATTTCTTGTAAAAGCATTTATTCCTATATTTGAAGGAAAGTGTAATTCATGCACAGAGCTTCCTTGTTTGAGTCACTTTACAGTTTACAGGCATGTCTTGTGTTTTCAACCGAGTTTCAACACAAGTGTGATTCATGAATTCAATTTCCCATTTCTGTGTCTCAAATTGGTCCATGTTGCTGGTTTTACAAAGCTCGACGAAAGTAAATGACATGTGTCCAGTTGTTCAAGGACAGTCTCAGGGCTGTAAGGGATATTTCAAGGTATATATCATATATGTGAGAATTATGGGTATTATCTAGAAGGTTTCGCGGAGAAGCTTAACCTTTTTTGCTCTATTAGACCATACCTTGTTGTTTAATTATTTATTTAGACTAGACATCGAAAATCATGTCATGTTACTCATTGTCACATTAACATTATACTTTCTACATGTCAGCTTTCACTTTTCATGTGTTTTTTGCTCCTTTATGGGGGAATTTTTGTGAAAAATGAAAATACATGTTTCTAAGTTTAGTAACTTTGTTGCCAAAAAAAAGGTCTACTTGGTTTGGGATGGGACTGGTCTTAAAAGTTTTTTTTTTTTTTGGGTGGGTTAAGGGAGTTTTTTTATTTCTTCTTTTTAATCAGCCAACAGGGCAAAAGTTTGAACAAACTAAACAACAGAAATAAAATCAGTATGCATGTTACCTCTCGCATCTCGGTCTAGCCACTGCAAGAGATCTCTAGGAAGAGTTTCAAGCACTTTATACTCATAAATCTTGGTTGATGTCAAATTTGCAAGCCAATTTGTGTACATATGATTTTCTTGATATGTCAAGGGAGTATTTTTCATTAGTGATACATTAAGCCAAGATATGCCTAAAAGATGGTTATTGATATTGATAAAAAGTTAAAAACTATAATTCCTTTTATAAAAGTAAGGGAGAATGACGAATTGATTTTAAAAGAATCAATTAATTTAAGTTAGATCTCAAGTACTAAATTTTATGAATTTATAACTCAATCTCAACATTTTGCAATTCTATTATGATAAATTTGTAACTTGTAATTTAAATTTTAACAAGAAAAATAAAGTTTTTATTCTTCAATTATATTAAAATTTAAAAATCAAGTTGTAAATTCATTACAATGGAGTTACAAATATAGAGATTGAATTGTAAAGTCAATAAATTTAACATTTGAGATCTATCTTAAATTAATTAATCCTTTTGAGAGTTATTTATTATTATTCCCAAAAGTAATGTAGGGTAAAGTTGCATGATAGATAAAATAGTAGGGCTGAAGTCAAAATTGGGTCCAAATTTCATGGATAATATGTATATCACGGCATTATTTATGATCATACTCAGTGGCTTTTTACGTTTTTTATTGTTCGCATTAATATATTGATTGACTATAACGCATAAATATACCATTTGCAAGTTTTGCAGAATTTAATTTTACATGTAAGGACATTAATTGCTTTCAGAAAATGAATGTTATTTTAAAATATAACAAAGACCAAACAATATTTAACTATTTAATATTAATATTACTAAGTTACCTTTAGTATTATGGTACGTGTTTAAACGGGAGTATCTCATTTCGTGTATTTTTTTTTTCACGTACAAGAAGTAAATTCACACAAATTTATTTAATTGGTTATTTTACTCAGTCTACTTGCTATTAGGTTGGGAAAATATTCCATGATATTGTAA